TTTTAAGTCATTACAACTAGTATATAAATACTATTCTTCTATACAGTATATTTATGTATATTTAATTAATCTAGAAAATTAAAACAAATAATTATCCAACACCATACTGATACATGTAATCTGGTGGTATATAAATAATTGTTGATGTTGTATCACAATCCACATCCAAATTCGAAAATATACATGCGTGACTTATCTTTAAAAAATATACTGATAAATTACATATTTTTTACATACAATTTGTTTTTGGGCAAAATTTTATACATACAACTAATTGGTGAAAATTTATAGTTTTCCAAAAATAATTTCATCAATTGTAAGCTACCATGGAAGTTGACATTCTTAAAACAATTTTACTAAGTACAAAGTGAAATTATAAAGGATGTTGAAATCTTTAGCAATGATCTTTTTGAAGGTGAAATCAATGAACTGACTGTTCTCTCTCAAAAAAAAAAAAAAAAAACAGTCAGTTCTTATTTTTTCTTACCAATTTTTGAGACCTCAAATGGCCATATTTATAACTTGTGTTGCGTATACCACTACTATACAGCTATATCTGCAGACTACATACAAAAACTAATCAAGAACTAAGTTGTGGCAATAAACAAAAACAAATACTATCACATAACAAAACAAATATCGAACTACATTAATGAAAGCATTTTTAGTAATGACAATTGCAGCTGCATTGACCAATGAGGTACTTGGCACTTGTCCATATATACACAAATATGTGTGTTTGATTCTCGAGCTTATACGTCAGCTAGGATGCAATAAGATAACGTGCATCTTCGGATACTAGACTTAGTCAATCGAGTGTACTAAATACCCTAATACTGAAATTTATATATACATATGAAATAATTTAGAGTTCAACTATAATTCGTTCAATATATATACCCCCATTAGAAGTGCCAATCTTGAAAAAAAAAAAAAAAAAAAAAAGTGCCGATCTTGTTGACATAAAACAAGAAATAAATGCCGATCTTAGGCCTAACTTTTGTTATTGTGAAAAGAATAAAACTTCAAATTTTCAAAGAATTGAATTTCATCATTTCGTTTGAAGTTTGAATTGACTATAGCTAATAGGAAACTGAAGCATTAGGTGGAATTTATATGAATTAAACATGTAGAATTTGGAACCAGATTAAATTTGAGTATAAATAAAGTTAGAACTAACAGTTCACAAATGATAAAATCATAGTTTTCTAATATGTAAGAAAATTTCTTTGTAAAATTAGATAGAAACATAAAAGAGGGGGCTGGAAAGCTTGCAATTATATTTAGATTATAAAAAGAAAACTTAAAAGTCTTCAGTTTTTGTTTGTCATGTTAATAGTCCATACTGCATGAATCATAATCAACCAAAGTCAAAGTCTATCGACATCAGAAATAAAATATTCACAAATAAAATATAAATTTTCTAAACTTAAATATTTACAAATAAATGTAAGTTTTATGACAAGAACTAAATACCCCATAGCAAAACAAGCTGCTCAGAAACACTTTTTTTTTTTTTTTACTAAATTGCTGAGTACTAAGAACGAAAACGTTATGATTAGTGGCTCTGATAAAAATAAAAGTATAAATTAAATACAATTAGCTCTGCTTATCATGTTCGCTAACGCTTTTCCCTTGTGCCCTGGAAATGGATTAGCATCCACAGCAAGCCTTTCAACAAAGGATTTCGCAGTGGAGATTATGCGACATGTCTTCGAGAGATTGAAGTAATCTTAATTTTTTTAAAACAAATAGAAATAATATATTCACAAATAAATGAAATTTTGCTAAACTAAAATATTAACAAATATCAATGATTTTCATATCAATCGAATATGACCTTCGTTTGTAATATCAGTAATAGTCTCTTTCTGTTCTGCTCGATCTCCCAACACGTTTTAGTCAATTTATTTTTGTACTTATGATTTTATATAGTTTCTCGGACCAATCCTAGTTTCTTGGTTTTTACTTAGTAAAGGAAAGGATGTTGAGGATACATGAATGATGAATCGTTTTGTTTTATGGTTGTTAAACATGTCAATGGAAGATGATTGGAGAAATGAGAGGTTTTTTAATCTTATTTTCTTGGCTTTCTACTTCTCTGACCATGATTATATTGGTAATAAAATGTATATTCCTTGATCCGTCGATCGTACGTTTTAATATTTTTTGTCCGCTGTGCCTGTACCCAATCTTATATTGAAAAAAAAAGCCGGGCTGGCCAAAAACCGTCAATAAATCAGGTTCGGGAGAAATCGCAAATAGAGTACAGAAAAATAGTTTAGGTCGAACCATACCTAAAAATAACGCTGGTAAGTACAATAGAGTCGGATTAGGGATTTTACTTTTCTTGCAAATAAAAATAAAATATGTAAATATTTATACACAAAATAAACAAAATATGCATTCTTTTCTTACAACCTCTTGTCGTTTCTCATCTTTCATAACCAGTGATCCATGTGTAGCAAATCCAGACCAAAACATATATAGATCAAACACAACTAAGTAAAAAAGGAAAAGTAACGTGCTATACCAGAAATTAGATGAATCTCGTGAAAAGATCATGTATACTAATAACAAGGGCCGTTGCGGTTGCAGTTTAGAGGGCCAGCGTCTGCGGTTAAAGAAGGAACCAAGTTTCCTGGAGCGACTGTGAATCGCTGAGCAGAACTATACGGTAGCGAAATGCTGCCATAACCAGAAGGTACGAAGTAAGCTCCGTTCTTGAAAACATCTTTTGAGGTTCTCCATCTCCAATTGTTCCATCCTCCTTTTACTTCTCTCTTCGTCACCTGTTTATTTTAATTGGTTAACCATGATTATTAATCGGTCCAACGCAACCTAATTCAGACTAGAGTATTTCTACTTACCTTTCTTGTTTTTCAGCTAACCTTATCCTTTCTTAGAAACAATTAGAATTAATCTATAATATGATCTTGGGTCCACCGGACCAAAAATGTCCACAAACACTTTCGGCTAAAGAGAGAAACATGACTCTCTATTTTTTTCTAGGTCAAATAGTATTGATAGTCGAATTTCGAATCTATCTTTTTTCTTTGTCAAAAGATGCAATATGCTGGTTTGTTGAATATATAATCAATCATAGATGGTGATACACTAACAAAAATGATATCAATCACTAGCCTACATGTTTAGATCCGATGGGGATATATGTAATTATAATATTGAATTAGGAGGATAAAATTAAAGTACCTCCTTGCTGTTAGATTTATCAGAAGCAATGAAATAGTTGCCTTCACTAAAAATGGTGGGATCGGCGCTACCACCAATTGCATACATTATCCATTTATCGTATCTATTGTTTGCCACATGAGCGTACCCTCGTCTTACCCTGCACCCACCACACTTTTTTTACATTATTACATGTCGTCTAACTCTGTATTAAAACTTCTAATTTATTTTAGTTTTTAAATGAAAAAATTAAAATAATGATTTTTAGTTTTTTTTGATGAAAAAGGAAAAGGAAAATTAATTGGTAATTACCTTGGCATTCTCTCGACAAGTCCTGGTCCAAAATGATTGAATGCCACGGTCACTTTCATGTTCACATCTTGAACAAAATCATCGTTGTGTCCAAGCAACATCACCTATACATATATAACAACCAATATCAAAATGCGATATTAATTTCCCGAGACATTAACAACTATATTAATGATTTTATAAAACTGAAACTGACTTTGTCATGCTGAGTGAAATAGTTGTTGGAAATTGTGATTCCCGTGGAAGCATGGATCACATCGATGAGCCCGTCCGTACAACTTGCTAGGTAACAATGATCGATCCAAACATTCGACGACCCAAAAATAGCGATAGCATCACCGTCCGATCCCTGACGGTGACCGACATGCGTCGGGCTGCTCCTCACCATTCCGTACTTCCCTGGTTTGCAGTCATGGATACTGATCCCGTGCACGATTACGTTCGTCACGTCTTGTATCGTAATGCATGGTCCGTATGCAATTTCCACTTTTGCCCCTCTCCCATCAATGGTCTTATAGCTATTGACCATGAGCTCATTCTCTAGGGTTATGACCATATCCTTAGCGAAAGTGATCCACAATGGCTTGGCTTGGATCACGCCGTACCGCAAAGAACCTGGTTGAGGGTTTTGTGCATTGTCGTTAGGGTTTGTGACAACATATAACTTACCTTTCTTGCCGCCCAAGGTAGATGAACCAAACCCAACCACGCAATTCGCTAGGTCTTTACGATTGACAGCCCAGTCAGACTTGAGCCGCCAACAGGAGTCCACCGGATTCATGATGTTCTGAGGTTTCTCGGGGAGGTAGTTGGCAACCGTGGGGGTATACCCGTAATAACCATTATTTACGGCATGGACCAATGACTGACATAAGAATAGTGCCACGAGGAGGCAAGAAACGGTGAAAAGAGTCATGGTCGGGTGGGTTTAAGGTTTGAGTAGGGATACTAAGAAAAGAGAAAAGATGGGCAAGTACTTAAGGGAGTGTTTAGATGAGAGATTGTGTCGGAAAGATTAGAAGGTGTGGTAAACACGATCTTGTCATAATATTGGCCTAAAGATCAAAGTTGTATTGGTGAGACTTTGGTGTTGTTGCACAAGATCCATGTACGTGCTTCCCCACGAACATTTCTCTAGCCGACTTGCTTGGATGGAGAAATCTAAAGTCTTAATGTATTTTTTTTAATTAATTGTATATTTGTATTACATTGTGTGGTATAATGTTTATCTGGTGGGGTGTTTTACCAATCCATTACTATTTTTTTGTTTCTTTTACTTCGAACACTCCATTTATTATGCTTGATATTTATGAGTTTTATTTTAAACAAAACCGAAGCGATATCTAGCCGAAAATATATAAAACCATACCAAACCTAAACTTAAAGCGAATTACAAATAAGTTTATATGAGCTAGTGGTGTGTTGAAATATGGAACTCATGTCACAAGTGTTTAAAAAAAATCCTACTATTTCATGGGATTAAGGAAATCATGCCGTTTTAAGGAAAAAATAAAATTCGGATGACAGACATTAAAACGGCAAGCAGTTCAAACATAGTAAAACAGAGAGGCTGATGTTTTTCATAACTCTCATAACTGAAGGATTCAGATTCATGAGAATATCTAAATGCAACATTACTATGAAAAAGATGAAGAAGAGAAGTTGCTCTGCAATTGCGTGATGCCTTGAGAACCAAGAAAAGTGTTGTTGCCTTTGAGAAAAGCAGAGTACCAATGAGCAGAGAGTTTGGGAGATCTCTTACGATGAGGATCACTGAAATTCACAGAGTATAATCCAAAACTAAACTCGTATCCCTTCACTAACTCGTATAAATCCATAAATGACCATACGAAGTAACCTCTCGTGTCTGATCCATTCCTACACGTAGTAAAATCTTTTTTCTTTAGTACATCGACAAGAGAAGAGAAGAAGAAGAAGAAGATACAATAAGAAACTTTACTTACCTAACGGCTTTGAGCACAGCACCAATGTAAGCATGTAAGTACTCAACCCTTGGTGTGTCCTTCTGTTGTAGCTGCAAATCTTGCTTCATCGGTGTACCTATTCGTTTGCATTGGCATTTGGCAAGAGAATTAAGCAGACTAAGTTAAAAACAAGAAAGAGAGATCGGAAAGAGTGAGAGATACCATTTTCAAGAATGTAGATAGGTGGATTGCCATAGCTCTGCTTTATATACTCAAGGACACTTTCCATAGCCCATGGAGCAACATCATACTTATCCAAACACAAACAAAACAACTAAGAAATATGGGAACACTTGAAGAAGTTTTGCATCTGAAATCGGTAGCCTTGAAACTCTTACCTCGAAAGCTGAAAACTTCCCAAGGACTGTCCCTCCCAAGTAGTAAAACAAAGAAGAGATGATTAGCAAAAACAAAAATATCAAGAAAAAAAAGAAGAGGCAGAGACTTTGTATTTGTTATTCAAAAGATAAGAGTTTGATATACATGTCATAGATACACCCATGTCTGAATAAAAATTCGGGTTTCCTGAAATAGAAGGTCTGATTTTGATGTTTGTGACCGAAGCTGCAAGATAGTGAATGATTCCTACGAAATCAGATGAGCCTTTAACTTGTTCTGATTCTTCCTTTGAGAAAACTGGCAGTCTTGATCCAACAATTCTTTTCATTTCATCGGGATAGTCTCCGAATATAAGAGGCTCAAGCATCCTGATTTTTAAAGAACAGAGTGTTCTGTTTTCAGCTTAAAACCTTGGATATGTTTTGCAATTCGGAAACTGTTTCTGCCTGACTCACCAACCGGAGTAGAAATCTTTGGCTCTTTGGATTGCAATGTCATCATCCTTGGAGCTCGTAGAAGGTGTAAACCCTAGAGCAAATAAGCTTAAGCCTATAGAACCTCCTTGCATATCCTGAACATTATATACAATATGTTGATGGTACTCACACATTCAAGAGAGGATTATGTAAAGTATATAAGCATGTATACCTTGTACTTTTGCTTATACGGTCTTGAAGCAGAGGCGTGCGCAAGCCGCAAGTTATGGCCTACGATATATGGTTCAGTTGAAGAGTTCCCTGATGAGCAGTTTCTACCCGGTGAGGAGCAACGACCTGGCGGTGTGATCCCATCATTGTATCCTCCAATAGTGAATATATTCGCCTCGTTGATCGTTGTCCAGAATTTGACGTGATGCCCAAACTCTCTGAAGCAAACATCCGCATAAGCAGTAAAGTCTTGGCTGCAATGACAAGATGATATCAACCATTCTTTTTTTACACTGCGGAATATGAAAAGAAAACTAAGTAAATGAAGCTATTTAGCTTACATGATTCTGCGGTTAATCGATCCTCCATAGTCATCTTCAAGATACTGAGGATGATCGTAGTGGAACAGTGTAACATGTGGTTCAATTCTTGTAGTAAGTTTACTCAAGTCCAAACTCAACACAAGAGAAAATTTTGGTATCCAAGAGTTGGTTAGGATAAGAAAACAGGTCTCACTATGGCTTACGAGTTCTTGAATGAAGTTCTTATAGAACTGTAGACCCTTGGGATTAATAGGACCTCTTCCATCGAAATGAGATAAGTGCTCATCAAGTAAAGTTCCGGCATAAACATTAAGCGTGTTTAAGAAGACTTCTTACTCTGTATAAGCCTAGACGAAGAAATGGAGAATCTGAAGGCATCTCAGCCAGTTTCCACCATGATCTGCACATCTCTGATGTGATAACAAAGCCAATGTTGATGTAATTAATCAACTCTTTAAGAGTTTTCTTGGTGAATAAACTAACCTTGTACTTATGGTACCCATCACATGTTATGTCTCCGTTACTTCGGTTACCTGTCAATTTAAGAAAACATATTGGTTAAACACCAATTTGACTACGACTAGACTCTTAATTATCATTCAACTAAAATCATAACACAAAAAAAAAGATGAAATGAAAAAGAAAAGCTTATAATTACGAGAGTGAAGGAAAGTATCCCAGACGCTAGGTTTTCTCCCATCTTCATCAAAAGCTCCTTCCCACTTTCAAAAACCAAACATTTCTTCTTCAGAAAAATGAAAGAACATTACAAGTTGAAAATATCAAATTCCAACGAACCTGATAAGCAGAAGTGGCGGATCCGAAAGTGAAGCCCTCGGGGAAGTCGTTCTTGTCGCTGCATCTCCCAGACAATGCCAAAAACAGAAAAGTGGTAAACAGAGACAAAATCAGTTCCATTTCTCTGTTTTGTTCCATGATTTTGTGGAAATAAGTTTGTAGACACAAGAGAAAATAGAAACACTTGTCTGTATCACAATTAGTCATCGTGGAATCAAAAGAAACACACATCGACAAGTTCTGATAATCATAGATAAAGAAAGGAAATTGTACAAATGTCAAGGAAACGAGGCTTTAAGGCCTTTTAAGATTATTACACACCACAATATAAAACTAGTTTCTTCTATGGTTTTTTTGGGAGATTTAATGTAAAGGATATGAAGAAAAATTACATTAAGAAAAATTACACCGGCATAAATGTTCGTAGCCAAAGTCATCACACTCGCAACTAATAGGTTTATTCATCACACCTCCTTTCTTAACAAAGTCTTTCATGCATGTTTTGTTTCCGTCGCCGCCGCATCCCCCGATAAATATATCCTTCCGGACGCGTAGGTTAGCCGCCATGGGATCCAATCCAGCTTCCACTTCTATATTTTTATATCAACCACAAGAATTAATTGTTAAATTTTTGAACGAAAGATCCTAGTTATTGAAATTGCAAAAATTGTTATATCAAACATCTTTTGTAATTGGTAAAATTAGATTATTTGATTTTAGGAGTAAAAAGCAAAGCAGAAAGAAAAAAACGTATTACCTTTCACATGGGTCAAAATGAAAGACATGAAAACACAAGAAACCAAAACTAAAGTAGTAGATCTCATGACTCTTATTCTGTGAATTTTGTATTTGCCAATTGAAATGATCTTTCTTCTCTTGTTTCTTAGTATTGGCTGATGATACAAGTTGATGTATGTGTGTGTATATAAATATGAACACGATTTTTTTTATTTTTTTTGTTAAAGGGCTTTAATATGAACACGATCTAGAAAGTATGTACTCAGTACTCACTCAATGACCCAATTCTTCTTCAACGATTTATAACGTAAACAAAACTAATGGGTAACTTTAATTAGTTTTGGAAGGTAATCTTTAATTTTCCTTTGACTTGACCAGAAAAAAAATTTCCTTTGAAAAGGTAATGTTGGTCAAAGTTGGCCAAAAAAGATAATAATATATATTGTTGCCTTGTTGGTGAAATATAAAAAGTTTCTGATGAATTAGTTAATATTTTTAATTATAAGAGATTTGGAAACTTAAAAATATTGGAGGTGATTGGTTTAGACGTTAAGGATTCTTGTTAAGAAGAAGGTTTAAAAGCCTAAATTTTACCAAAATAGGTTGTTGGATTCATTTTGTTAAAATAATTTTTTTTCTCTTTTTCATTTAATTTGATAAGATATTAAAAACATGAAAAGATAATTCATAACTCTTCACTAAATCTTTCACCAATATAATATTATTAGTTTTAGTGCACTTTAGTGTTAATTACTTTTTATAAGATTCTTTTTTATTGGTGAAAGACTCATCAAGTCTCTCATCAATATAATAATTTTTTTGTGTAATTTAATATTTTTGATGTAATTTAACTTGAATACTAATTTTAAATTAGAAGATTTCTAATTTATTTCTTTCAAATCATATCAAATTACATTTTAAATATATTGTTATTTTAAGTAATATTAATTAAAATAATATTAATATATAATTTCAATTCATGCATAATGAAACTTATTTGATAGATTATTTTATTTTATGATTTTTTAAAAAATATATAAACTAGTTAGTTAATTTTTTAAACTATTGTGGATTTGATTTGTAATAATAAAATTTGAGTCATTTACGAAGAGGCATGTGTCCCACATAAAATGTTTTTAAAAGATTTCACAAAACCTTTTAAATGAGAAATGATAGTCATCCACTGTTTTTTTTTCTTAAAAATATTTTTAATTGTGAGAGACTGAATGTGACACTTCCACTTGTATACAACAGACGGCTACATTTGATATTATTAAAAAAGCATAAACACGTTCAAACATAGGCAAATAGAAAGGAGTAATAATTAGGTTTGGGCACAAAAACCGGAACCGAAAATCCGAACCAAAATCTTTTTCTGATTTGGTTCTAGATACCACTAAATATTTGAATAGATCTCAGTCACACTATCCATTGGATATAGATAATAACCAAACCGAATATAATATTCATGGGTACCCAAATCGAATCGAAAATGTATGGTCAACCCTCTACAAACATACATCTAAATCCAATACATTTTGTCCTAATCTCTAACCCAATAGATTTTGTTAATTTTTTGATATTTTGACCCAATATATTTTGATCCATTACAATTTTGTCAAAAAGGTTTCAGATATTTGGGTATTTTGGTTTTTAAGGTATTTAGCTTCTTTTTGGATATTTTGGGTAAAATAATTGGAACCGAACCCAATCGATATCCACTGGAGTTTGGTTATTTATCGGTTATCTTTCTAAATATCTGAAACGAACCAAACCGACAAGTCACCTAGCCGAACCAAACCGAAACTTTTTCGATTCTTTTAAAGATCTTAAAGGACGGGAATCAAAAAACCAAAAAAACCAAACCGAATGGAACCGAAAAACCGAACACCCAAACCTACTAATAATTCATCACTTTTTCAATAAAACAGACGGATACATCTGATATTATTAAAATAAACAAAAACACGTTCAAACATCGGAAAATAGAAAAGAGTAATAATTCATCACTTTTTCAACATATACTAGAATTTAACCCGCGGTATACCGCGGGGCTATATTTTTTTTAAAAATGTAATGTTATTTTTTAAAAGACTAACTGAAGATATATCATATTAATTTGTATTTTAAAATGTAGATATCTATTTATCAATTTTTGAAGTATAAATACGAAAACATACATTTTTTTTTAAGTAACGATGTATGGTGAATTTTAAAATTTTGAATATTTTACTCTGCAGTATACCGTGGGTCGGGTTTTTTATAACTGAAAATTTTAAATTTAAGTTGGATTTGTTTTGTTAATATTGTTTCTTTTGTTTTGTGTTTAAGATTGTATAATTGTATTTTGATTGTTAATTTTAGGATTTCATCCGTGATATACCGTTATTTATTAATATCGACCCAAACCCGTCATCCCATATAAACCCGTCTATATTATCTCGTTAGCTAAATTATTAGTATTATAAAATCCAAGAAAATAAATTATTATTGTTATAAAATCTAATAATTTTAGGATCTCACCCGTAGTATACCGTTATTTGAACGATTTTAAATTTATACTACTAATATATATTTTAAATTTATCATATAAAGTATATGATTTCAAGTTTTTTGTGTTTTTTTTTATTTAAATAAAACAACGGCTTAAATGATGATAGATATAGTTCTTTTCCTGTATGTGTATTTAATTTTTCTATGTGAATATTTTGATTATTATAAAATAGTATTGTTATTGCTATGCAAAATGTTAATAGAAATATTTGCTATAAATTTTTTTGAAGATATATAGAAAGATTGTGTAAATATTTTTAGAAACAAATTAGGCAAGATATTGTTTGGTTAATATCTTTTATTTAAATTTTGTAAAATTAATAATAAATGCCAATGGCATTCTTTGTAAATACTGCCTAACCCTAGGATTTATTTGCTAAAAGTCATCCAAAAATGTATATATAGATATACTTTCAACATAATTAATCACTTTACCTTGTTCATCCATAGAATGCAGCGGAGAGACTTCCCTTGTACTAATAAATCGAAAGCTTTATTGATTTCCTCAAATTTCAGTTCATGCGTAATGAAACTATCCAGATTAAGCTCATACAATGAAAAAATTAACATGCAAAGTTGGAAGTAAGTAAAATACTTTTTAATAACCAAAAATTGTAATCTAAATTGATAGATTAATGTATATACCTTTTTTAAGTAATGATCAACGAGAATGGGAATATCCAGTTTGGGTTTAAGACCACCAAACAAGCTTCCACAAACATGTCTGCCTCTAAGAAGATCAAGGCTACCCTCTAAGAAGATCAAGGCTACCCAAACTTACTGGCATTAGATGCTTATCTATCCCCAATATTACCGTTTTTCCTGAACCCTGTTTTATTTATATAATTGTTAAAGTCTTAAAGACATGGTATATTTTATTGATAAATTCTTAAAGACATAGTTAATACTCTCTCTGTTCTATTTTATTAGATGTTTGGACTAAAAACACAAAGATTAAGAAAAAATAAATGTTTTCTCATTTATGAAAATTCAATCAATAGAAAAAGATACTGCATAATTAAAATAATTTAAAACTATTAAACTAATATAAATTATGCATTGAAAATAGAGAAAATCTTATATAACGGAACAAATAAAAAGGTATAAAACATCTTATGTATTGGGACAGATGAAGTAAAGGGGTTATTATGGATTTGGGGCTTTGTTGGGCCAAAACTTTCAATTTGGGTCACTATTACCTAGCCTTTCAATTTGGATATTTTTGACCTAGTGAAAAAGACTGTTTTATCCATGTCCTCTGTATCTCTTTCTTCTTCTTCTCCCAACCACATCCATCGTTATTCGTTTCTTCTCCGACGTGATCACCTGATTTTCCGACAACAATCATCACTCGTCACCGTCGTGTTCTAACAACACTATCTCCGTTAAATTCATTACCTTTAATTTCATTAACACCATCGCCAAACACCAAACGTCTCCACCAACAACACCATCTCGGAGCTCCGATGATTCAAGAATTAATTGTGTTTTGAATAAACAAAACTAATCCCTAAGGGATAGTATCTAGTAAACCCAAGGGCTCGAATTGCAGATCTTGGAAAAATCATGATTGTAACTGCCGGTGACAGCTCCGATCTTCTTCTTTTTTTCAACAAATAACTCTGATCTTCTTTCCACTAATATTCATAACGAACAGACCAAACTCTGTTAAACAATCTTAACTCTAATCCATGATCGATTCATCGGTTTGATTCACGTTGGAGAGATATTTTCATCATCGGAACTTACAAAGTCAGCATCGACATTTGATTTACTTTTTTTTCTAACTACCATGTGGTAAGGATAAAATCGACATTTTGTTAGTATGAGAAATGCCTAAATCAGCAATGCTAAACAACCGTACCTGATTCAATAATTTTCTCTGAAAAAAAGCCCAATCCGGTAATTGATTCATGAAGTAAATGATTAAATGTTGGTTATCCATTGAAATTTTGAAACCAAAAGATCCGGTATAAGTGTACCGTGGGGGTGCTGTTGAAAGCTTCGGTCAAATAAAGAAGGTAAACCAACGCATTCGAAGCTATAGTCAACTCCTCCTCCTGTCATTTCTTGAATCACTTTTTTCAAAATTAGCCATAAAATAAAGAGATAAATTACTTCGCTTACGGATAAATTAATGATCAATTACAACCAAAAGTTTCTATAATTATGATGTAAATCTAAGAATTTTATATGAAATAGTGTAAGATATTAAATAACATACCTCGCTAATCTTCTTTTTTCCACACAAGGTAGGATTGATGAAATCCGTGAAACCAAATTTCTTACCTATTCAATGTAGATAGTCATACGTTTATATATACATGATGAATATTATTTTTCCTTTTATATTAAGTAATACTTCATCTGATTTTTTTTATTTCAGTTTAAACAACGTTTTTGCTTTTCAATGTAACAAAATTATTTATTATTTTTAATTGTCAAGGATTTGAATGGAGACGTAGTAACGATATCAATCATGTTAACATATGCATATTCAGTTGACATTATTTATAAGTTATAAAGAAACAGATTAAAAGACTAAACTACGACATTTGGATTTGGTTATTTTGACAAAGAAATAATACAACCTGGACCGGATATGATATGACCATTTGTTAAACCATTAACCATCACCAACTACAACTAGTAGTTTTTAGTGTTTTGTAATAATATAATACCAAACCCAACGTAATCCATAGTATTTGTTAGTATTTAAGTGATCAGAATAAGCCATAGTGACTTTAATTAAAAGACAAAAATATTCAATTGAAATACAACACAACTTTACCTAGGTCGAATTTTTCAGCATTGAGATCAACACCAATGATCTTGCCGGCTCCACGCACTCACGCAGCCTAGCTCCTTCTGCAACCTGTTACCAAATCATTTAACTAATGTATATAGAATTCATTAATTTGAGTGACAAATTGATACCGCAAGTCCAACAGCACGAAGGCCAAAAAGTGCAATGGTGGAGCCTTGTTCCATGTTAGCCACTTTCCAAGCTGCTCCAATTCCTGATCCACGTGATACAACACACCATAACCCCTGATTTCTACTTCTTTGTATGTTTTAACTTTTAACCCCAAATATATTTTAAAATATGTTTTAACCCCTGAACTCTCTAGGCACCAAATATTGAAGTAACCTGTGGAAACACCGCAGCTGAGCAATGCTGCTTTATCAACCGGAATATCAGGAGACATTTTGACGAGATGTGCGATATCTACGACGGTATATTCAGAAAAACTTGAGACAAAGAGAAAATGGTTAATATCTTCTCCCGAAGAGTCTTTGAATCCTGAAGTCATTCCATACCGTCTTGTGTTTGATGCAAAATCATCGGCAAATCTTGCACACCAGTTGCTCTTTGAGGATTTGCAGTCTCTACATTCTTCACAATGAGGGTGAAACACTGGCAAAACGACGTCACCTTGTTGAAATCCATTCACAGGTTCACCAATACTCTCGATCACACTAGATAACGAAAAAAAACAAAGTAATTAATTAGGCAAATTCTTGAAAAAGGAAATGAAGGTAAAACAAGTATGTGAATAATATTTACCCGACTGCTTCGTGTCCTAGAATCATAGGAAACCTTACAAGCGGTCCCTGAAAAATTCAAAAGGCTAATTAATGAAAAGATAATCAAGTTTTGAAAGATAGGATTATGTGTTGATAAGTGTGTAAAACTTACACTTTCTACTTTCCAGAAAGAAACATCGGTGTGACATAAAGATGTACATATGATCTTAATCCTAACTTCGTAAGCTTGAGGTGGATCCACATGGATCTCTTCTATCACCAATGCTTCTCCTGGTTTCCTAGATATTGCTGCTTTGCATCGAATCGGCTTTCCTTCGTGAATGGAGAACGATGATGCCTTGTCCATGGTGGGTGATAGAGTATGAACTTATTATTATTCTTGCTATGCATGTATCTTTTCTTTCTGTATAATTGTCTCTGCATACAAATGAACGATTATATGATTTTATCAATACCATCATTTTTTTAGTGAACTGTTCTTAATTGAGCTAGCCTCTAATCTATTGTCAAAATAGGTGTAAAGGTTGTAACAGCCTACCTTTATTTTTGTCTTGTGCTCTACTTTTTTCGAATGATTCGTAAGAATATGAATTATTGGCAAATGGTATTAATGGAAAGCATATCTCGAGATCGCGGTTGGTGATTGGTGAATTAAGACAAAGCCAGCTAATAAATATAGTATCTTCTATTTTAATCTTTGATTAAATTCCAAATAACTAACGTTTAGACTCTTTTTTTTGTTGAGATGGCAAGACCATCTTAAACCATCCGATACAAAGAAATATAATATCTTTTCTTCAAAAAGATCAAGAAACGAAATAATGTTGATTCAAACCTAAGAGAGTGATATAAAGAAAGAATCATTTTTTTTAGTCAAGCTAATTAAGGAAACGAAACTATTAGGTATTTAAAGTTTTGCGACTGTTTTCTTCATTACAATTCTTCCAACATCTAAAAAAGATTCAAAAGTTCACATCACAAGAAACTCCTTAAACCATGTTATATTATTATCCATTCTATATTTCGTTTATTGAACTATAGCAAAAAAATTAGCAAGGAAAATAACATCGGCATAAATGTTCTTCGCCAAAGTTATCACACTCGCAACTACTAGGTTTATTGCTTGCACCTCCTTTCTTAACAAAGTCGTTTATGCATGTTTTGTTTCCGTTGCCGCCGCATCCTCCCAAAAATATATCCTTCCGGCCACATTGGTCCATTGGATTCAACGCAGCTTCCACTTCTATTATTTAATATCAACCAAAAGAATATTCTTAAATTTTAAAGATCTTAGTAATTGATAATGTAAAGATCAATATTAGACCATGGTGTAGAATCCATTGTTTATGAAAACAACATATTTCGCCGTTGACAAAAATTAGGGTTATTAGATTTTACCTTTAACATGGCCCAAAATGAAAGACATAAGAACACAAGAAACCAACAACAAAGTAGCAGATCTCATGATTCTTGTTGTGGTGAATTTTGTATTTGTCACTCTTTTGTGATAAATAATTATCTTTTTCACTCTTGAATTCCTCCTTCCTCGTTTTCAATGGACAATATGCACATTATTTTTCTGTCACCATATATATACACACACACATATTCAACAAAATGTTTTGGTAAACAGAGATAATTACTTAAATATTTATTTTTTGTCAAAAAAGTATTACTTAATTTTGGAAGGTAATCTTTGACCTTTTTCCAAAAATGGGTATCTTTAATTAGCTTTGGAAGGTAATCTATAATTTAATTTTGAAAAATGAACTTTAGTGTAAATTAAAGTAGATCTGACGCAAATTGTTTATGATGTATTAGTTCCTAACTTCCTATACAAAAATTATTGATAATAGTTACAGAATCTAAGCGATTTGGAAACTTACAGATTTATATTTAACATTTTTATTCAATGATAGAAATAGAATACTTGAATAGTTGACCAATGGTTGATTAATGCTTCTACACTAAGAGGTCTGGGGTTCGAGTCCTAGATATTGCGATTTATTATCAAATTTGCAGATTAATGGAGGCAAGTGTGCAGGAGATCTCCAGCGATGTACAATTATAGCCGTGCGCCAGGATTCTACGCAGGGAAGGAAGTGTCGCCAGGTCGTGGATTATTGAAGGTATTCATCAAGATCATGAAGAAGGAAGTGTAATCTGTCGTGGATCTACTAAGGGTCGGCAAAAATTGTCAGTTGGAGAATCGTCTATGTAACAGCTCTCATAATTTGTAATTAATAATAAATCTAGACGACAAAAAAAAAAGAATAGTTTTTTATTTATTTATTAAAGGATTTGCTATCTAAATTGCTAACAAAAAGAAAGATAAAAGATATGGATGTTCTTAGGAGCCAATTTTTTTCAAATGAGAATCCAAATTAAAGCCTAACCGAACCAACAATTTAAACCAAATTTGAATCATATAGTTAAGACTTAAGACAATTGATCTAAAATCATAAATAAAACCACAATAAAATCGATTTCTTATAAAACGACCCCGAAATTTAGGAATCACCACGCCACCAGACAAAATCTTATAAAAATATCAATATGACAAATCTTGGCCACATATTCTCATTTTGATAGGCTTCTCTTACTCTATCTATGTACATATATTCTTTTGATCATGATCAAAGCTTCTCTTAGACTAGACTAGTTTACCACTAAAGGGCAAAGACGGCGAATCTTCCCCACTGATTCTGCTTGGAGCCGGAGTATTTCTCCGCGACTGACGTTTGGTGGGAACAATGATGGCTTCATCCTCAAACTTCCCGAGCTTGTCATCAATGTCATCATCGTCTTCATCGCCTTTAAAAACCGGATGAATGTAAGCATTTTGCAAGTAGCCTTTAAGGTTCAGGTTTGGTTCTCTTGCGCTTTCCAATGTATCTTTCATCATTGCTTCCTGTAACATACAAGGACACAAATACAAGAATGATTCATATTGAACATATAAAATGACCAAATGAGAAATTGTTGTTAGAAGAAACAACAAACCTGTAAAGGGTATCTGATGAAGGCTGGCTCATAACGACCTTTGCAGAAGTGGTGGAAACCGATGGTAAGCACAGGCAAAGCAATGAGAAACGGTGCAGCTAATGCAGCGTGCTTTGTTCCCAATAGACCCATCAGAAGCAACTGTGATATTACTAATGCCGCTATGACTCGTCCATGAACGTCTGGCCAAAACGCTGCAGCGCTCTCGTATTCTTGGTTGTATACGTTGATGATCTGACAGAAACAAAAAAGGATATTTCAGAATCTGCTTTGGAACCGATTCGACCCAAATGAGGAAGGAAGAAGAAGCTTACTTGGTGGCGATACACAATGTAAGCAAGGGCGAAGAAGACTAAGATAAAAGGAAGAAGCATCGGTGTCACGGGAGCGTAGACAAGACCGAGAAGGAAGTAGAGCTGTATCCGAGGCTCGCCCGTGTTAAAACCAATGCTTCCCGGGTCCATTGCTTCCTCCCTGTCTTTATCAGTCTTAACCAAGAAGGCGTTTTTGAGATGGAACATAATCAGTGGTTTCAGCATTAGAATCTCTCCTGCAACTCCTGCCCAACCATCAACCATTATATAAGTGATGAAGAAAGTTGCTTTCATCGGTATGGCCACACCAATGGTTTTGGGGATTTGGTTTGGGGATTGATTGAGAAAAGAGTTAAGCTGTTCGAACGCAGCTCCAGTGATAACGCTTGCAAGAAAGACGTTCACCAAGTTGAAGATGTAATATCGAAACGCGGCTCGTCTCTCTAAAGATGAGATCGATGTGAAGCCTTCAAATTTAGACATGACCATCAGAATGGATGGCAGAAAGGCGAGGAAAATCTTCAGTGCGATACCCGGTAGGAAACCTTGTATCACCGATTTCATGAATTGACTGCATTAAACCAAACCAGTCAGGCCAATATTAGTAATGCTTTCAGTTTATCTGATGTCAAGAAGAGAGAATGTGAAGAAAGAAACTCACTCCTCTACAATAACCTTCAAGAACGGAGCAGCTTTCACAATCCCTTCAATGGTAGCAAGAGATTGAACAAACGCGATGGGGATAATGAAGAAGAAGGTTAAGAAGAAGAAGGCAACATGCATGATTAACCTCCTTACTGTCAGAGAAACATATGGAATAGCAAGATTTGACCAAAACACATCACGCGGTTCTGGAGCCCATTCGGTCAGCCACTGGGTTGGGTTCCGAGTCTGTTGGGTCTGAGCACAAACAGCAGCAGCCCATCGGGTTTTAAAGGAGACAAACGCAGCTGGCATAATGGACTTGGGATCATTCACCACTTCCTCTCTTTCTTTACTGATCTCTTTTGATATTTTGTCAATTTCAGCAATGTAATGTTCAATGGCATCGACTTTTTGTCCCCATAGCCCAAGAAAGCCAAGCTGGTTGGTGGAGGAAAAGCATGAAATGGGTCAGTTTAACAGAACGCAAACAAAAAAATACCAAGATTGGGATTAACTGAAGTACCTTCACCATAATTCTCTGAGAGTTTTTCCTAGCGTATTTGAGCTGGTAGTAATCAAGCCAATTCTGCAGCTTTTTTTTCTTTTTCACCAAATCGGCAAGCTTGTTTGCATTGCATACAACCTACATATTGTATCCAAACATAATCAATGAAAGTAAGAACTCAGGAAGAGTATCAAAGCCTCACAATGTTAATGTTGTTCTTACATCTCAAGAAGAGCATAATTCAAAGAAAACTTAAAGGTTTCAAATTTCAGGCTTCTAAGGAACTTGCCTGATGTGTCAGGTAGTGATCAGGATGATTGACCAGGAAAAAATGCTCCACCAGTTCACTTACAGATTCATCTGCGTCCGGAGGTACATTCCTAACCAGAACCTATCACAAATCCCAAAATATTAGATCGCTGGCCACGACTGTTCAGCGTTTAATGTTTCAACTAAGGGAAAGAAAGGAGTCTTACAGTGAACTGGTCAGGTCGACGAGCTTCTGATGCAACAAACTGGAGCCTCATGTTAGCAATTGTCTCATATTCTTTCATCAGCACATAACAAGTCCAGATGGTAAAGGCATAAGCCATTACTATATGAGTCCAAAACCTGGCAAATCATACAATGTAGCTCAAAACTTTACCTGACTACACCTTTTTGTGACAAATGGAAACATAAAAGACTCAAGATGGTAAGGTCTAACGCACCTCATTGAATACTCTGGAATATTTGAAACAGAGAGTTTGTCAATGTCGCTCGAAGTTACATTCCTTAGCTGCTTAGCCATCTCCAATGTGTTATTTGTCCAGTTGACTGGCACAAGAACTGCCCAAGCAAGCACTGCTATTGGAGCAAAGATCTTAAGCCTGTGCACATAAAAAAACAAACAAAAGAGATATGTTTATATTTACTCTTCCTACTACCAAAAATAGCATATAACATAGTGACCATTTTGCTTCTTTGTCAATTAGATTCAACTGAGACCAAATCAACCAATACAAACCCATAAACCAAAAAGTCTACAAAGTTCAAAACTTTACCCCAGCCAGTAAATCCGGAGATAAACAACTGAATCCAAACCAGCATGATCAATCAGCTCAGGCTCAGGCATCTTCAAAGCCTCTGGCATCCAATTCAAGAACCTCATATAAGACCTAAAGTCCAGGTTCACAAAGCGCTGCGCAAAGGCGCCACCACGCGCAGGGCTGCTTCTTAACCCCTTGAGATACCATTTTGAGAAGTAAACTCTATCATTGAAAGGCTGAAGCCTCAAAATAGCAAAGATGATGAAGAAAACAAATGCACTGAGAATGTTTATCCCAGCTGATACACCAATATCCTGAAGTGTCGCCATTTCTTATATTGTTGCTCCCTTAACTAAAAATTCAACCTGTAAAATACAATGAAGCAACCAAATTTTGTTACTGCCAAGTTCAAAATTGAAGCTTTCTGATAGAAACATTCAAAAGAAAAGTTCTTTTAAAAGCTTAACCAAATCAAAATCTTTGGAGTGATTCAAATTGGAATCTAAGTGAAACCCCTGGCTAATTATACAGAACATGAAAAACCCAGAAAGGCAAAACTTTAGGAACAAACCCCACACACCAAAATTCCAAAAATCTCAGAGCATCAATAAAAGTTGGCTTTTTGTGAGTTATCCCCAAATTTACTCCACCGAAATCATGAGATCCAGTGACTTAAATCTCGTTAAAGAAAAAGAGAAAGCAAGTTCAGAAGTTATTAGAGAGAAACCCTAAAGAAGAGGAGTGGAATAAGCCAGTGTTTTGGATCACTTCCAGATTCATCCAAAGCTAAGAACTTTTTTTTTTGTGCACCCTCGTCAGTGATTTAGTAACACGCAACACACAAAACCTATGACAAAAAACTTTGTTATAATATTTATCTAGAGAACTGTTTGAGATAATGTTGCTATAGAAACTGATAAGAGAAGCAGTTACGAACAAAGGGTTAAGATTTAAGAGAGTGGGAGCCTGGGAGGTGAAAGAGGTCGTACAGTTCAAGGAAGAAGAAGAAGTTGAAGCCGACCAGAGTTTTTTTTTTTTTTTTTTCTGTTATTATTACGCTCATTGGCTTACAAAATAATAATTTATATTTGTCTAATATTTATCGTC